TCCGGGCTAGTACAGTGGTAACGTGCCGGCCTTTCATTCGAGGGGTCGGCGGTTCGCGCCCCGCCCAGGCGCGAGAAGTTGCAATCGTCGCCTGGAGGTTACTGCTGTGGCTGGGCACCACCGTGGGTAAGGACTAAGCTCATCCGAGTCAGCACCTGCTGACACACTGTTTGCGAGTCGACATTAGTCGGCACAGGCCGGGCTCCCCCATAGCCCGGGCGAGGCTCAGCTTCGCATATCGGACTTATCCTTATCTCTCTCTCTCTCTCTCTCTGAATCTCTCTTAGTCTCTCTCTCTCACTCACTCATTCACTTACCTCCTCTAACTCTCTCTCTCTCTCTCTCTCTCTCTCTCTCTCTCTCTCTCTCTCTCTCTCTCTCTCTCACTGTTTCACTACCCCCCCCCCCTCTCTCTCTCTCTCTCTCTCTCTCTCTCTCTCTCTCTCTCTCTCTCTCTCTCTCTCTCTCTCTCTCTCTCTCTCTCTCTCTCTCTCTCTCTCTCTACCTACCTTTTATGCCTACGGTTTGCGTAATAATAATTTAATTCACAAGTTATTCTGATTATTCTTCAGTAATAGTAAGAGCAACATCAAAATAAAAATTACCATAATGATGATAGATGATTATAGATATAATAAGGGTAATAGTGATAACGATGAACATAACGATAATAGTATTAATTAAGGTATCAACTGATAGTGCACATTAATAAATGACAGCAATAATACCAACAACAAAGATATTAATTATAATATCAACTAAAACTGAACATCAAAAAATGATAATAATAGCAACAAATATGATAACAATAATATTAACGGTGTATATAATAATCATGATGATAATAATGATAACATTATAATAACAGCACTGATAATGATGATGGTGTCGCTGACGATACTGAAGTATTGTGACTGATGACATAGAGACGTTCATAGGGTTTTTACGAAAATGTGGAAAAGAAAAACAAATATCGTAATGCATTTATTATTATTATAATTATTATTATCATAAGTATAAAGATTCTTATAATCCAGTACACTAAATACTAAAGTAAACGAGAATAGACAGGTATAATCGAATGTTACAAACAACATACTGTTTTATCCACAAAATGACATGCTACTGTTTATATTGGCAGAGTCACCCATGACCTCTTCACAGAAATAATGTCCTAGTTGACATCTATCACAGCAAGTTCACTAATAAGGAACTTCTTGATACCCGTGTTTGCATTATTTTTATCATTTAGTTTTAATTTCCTAAACCCTATCTCCGCACGTACTGGTTTGTAATAGTAGGAGTAGTAGTAGTAGTAGGAGTAGGAGTAGTAGTGGTAGAAGTAGTAATAGAAGTAGTAGTAGTAGTAGTAGTAATAGTAGTAGCAGTAGTAGTAGTAGTAGCAGTAAGAGTAGGAGGAGTAGTAGTAGAAGTAGTAATAGGAGTAGTAGTAGCAGTAGTAGTAGTAGCAGCAGTAGTAGTAACAGTATTAGTAGTAGTGATATTAGTAGCAACAGTATTAGTAGGACTAGGAGTAAGAGTAGCAGTAGCAGCAGTAGTAGTAGAAGTAGTAGTAACAGCAGTAGTAGTAGTAACAGTATTAGTAGTAATAATATTAATAGCAACAGTAGTAGTAGGACTAGGAGAAGTAGTAGCAGAAGTAGTAGTAGCTGTAGTAGTAGTAGTAGTAGTAGTAGTAGCTGTAGTAGTAGTAGCAGCAGCAGTTAGTAGTAGTAGCAGTAGTAGAAGTAGTAGTAGTAGCAGCAGCAGTTAGTAGTAGTAGCAGTAGTAGTAGTAGTAGTAATAGCAGTGTTAGTATTGGTAGCAGTAGAATGTTGGTAGTATCAGATTCGGTAACAGTAGAAATCATTTTCTTATTGTCGAGTCATAAACGTTCAAAACAATCAAAACCAGCAATAACTTTCTTCAACCTGATGAAAATAAAACACACTCTTGTGCTCGTGTTCCCTCTATCTCTTGTAAGGCCTTGGTATGTTCTGGTACAGCTGTTCTCCACCCACGGCCAAGTCCACGTCAGGGGGTTCGGACGTGCTCTCTTCGGGGACGGAACACAAAGGACGGGATCGGAACACGGCTTCGACACTCTCTGCCTCTTCGTAGTGATGGTAAGACGTGACTTTGCGTTCTGTGGGAGGATGGAGGCACACGAGAAGAAATGATGGTCAGGGCGTGGAAGATGTAGCCTTCAGGACTATTACTGTGGGACGTAGAATTGAAGCTGAAGGTACTCTTCTTTTTAAACTGTATGGGTATTGTTTTTTATTGGGTGTTGTGTGTGTTAAGGTATCTGTTAATATAAGGGAGTCCGAGTTGGAATGCTAGAATGTTTTATTACATAGTCGTGTGTGTTTGAATATATTGTATCTAGGTGTTTTAAGTCTATACGAATTGTGACGGTTTTCTTAAAAGGGCTTCCTACTTTTTTGTTGCTGTTGTTTTTTAGTTTGTTTTATAATTACCTTCACGCAATGGATGTGTCTTTCTTATCATATGTTTTACAGCGCTTTTGTCATTGTTAACTCTGCTTTTCCAGCAGAGGAGGCAGCAGGTGATGAACAAGAGAAAGGACAGCAGAGCAGACACTGCTATCAAGCTAAGCACGAGGTTCCATGAGCAGGAGGAGATAGGTACGGTACCAGCCATTTCTGTGGGGGAAGAAAAGCATTATAAAATATAAAACACATTATAGAATACTTACCTAAAAATATAAAATGCTAATGAGGTTTCGGCATGAGAATTCTGTGACATTGCTTATATAAGTACTACAAAGAAGCCATAGATAGGATTATTTATGGTTTCATCATTGGAGAATGGTGAACTCGGTCACCTTGGCAAGGGGTATTGGAGGTGATATGGATGTGCTATTTCCCCTTTCTTTTTGAGTGCCTGCGTCAGCGAGAATGTGTGCCTGTAAGCTTGCGTGTGTAAATGTGTGTGTGTGTGTGAATATTGTATGCATGCGTCTGTTTTTGTACATAGTTGCAACAATTAATCCTGCTAAACAAAAAATCACTAGCCTTTCCGAGGACTGGCGGGTCTACAGCGCGCAGCAAGCTCAGCATCGCGGATTTCCGTTAGTGACACGTGAACATTTTCCAGACTGCCACGAACAGCGTCGCTCGAGGTTACTTCCCCGTTTATCTCCAAAATCACCAGGTTCTGAGAGACAGATAGTGTGGTTTGTAGTGATGATGATAATGAATTTGATGATGATTTTAATTATCATTAATGTTTTAAAAGTCATAGTAATTCTAATGATATATGTATTACATTGATTGTCTTATTTTCGCTATCATATTTTTCACCATAAGGATCATCAGTATCATTATCGTCATTTAATATCGTTACCCACAGATTTAATCTCTCCATCATCATTATCATCCTCATCCATCATTATAATCACAACCTACAGACGCTTTCACAACCTCCGCCCTCCCATACCTCGTGGCTCCCTGGCTCAAGCAGGACCTGCACTTTGTTCCACTCCTTGAGGCGAGCCATGCCCCCTCGATGCACCTCCAGCCGCAGCCTCTCCACCTCCCCCCCTCCGCCTTCTGCCCTCGCCACCTCCACCTGCGATAGAGATGACGGGATCGCTGATGTGAAGGGAAAAGGGAATTACGGTGCGTGCATGTGTCGGTGGTGGTAGGGGAGGGGAGGTGTATATGTGTGTGGAGGTGTATATGTAAGTGCAAGTGTGTTTAGGAAGGGGGATACACCAAAGAACAATGGCGATCAAAGATGGGTACAAGGAATTAAAAGCACTGTGTGTATCTTTTTTGTTTGAGTGTGTTTGTGTCCGCATGTGTACAACAAAAGATAGTTTCAGTACCTCAAGTGAAACTACGTAACGAATGGTAAGCGGGAAAACATAGAGCGCTCGGCTGGACGCAACTTGAAGATACTGCGCCGTTAACGAGGGGCTTGTGAGCACGGGGCATCCTGCACGTGAGAAATGTATAGTAAGCTGATAATGAAATACTCAAAACTCCTAGAAATGTGGAAAGATATTCAAAGTGAAAATCAAGTTACTCCTAGAAATGTGGAAGGATATTCAAAGTGAAAATCAAGTTACTCCTAGAAATGTGGAAGGATATTCAAAGTGAAAATGAAATGAAATTGATAATATATATAATTATCTAATCAGAATCACCCGCTTCACAGTTGAAGATGACCGCTAGCTGCATTTGGCTTACGACGTGCAGCCTCGTCGCTCCCCCCGCCGCGTCGCCGAGATGTCGCTGGAAAACGAAGTCAGGCAAGAGCGGATCCATGACGGTCAGCCAACCGCCCGCCACGCCCACGCCGATCATCTGCCATGCACCCCTACGCAAATCCAGAGGGAAAGCAGCGTCGCCATAGTCCCGTGTTTCTGGCAGACGAGAGAGAATGGTTGTTGGGAGACAGTTTGATAACGAGACAAGGAAAATGGTGTATTTGTATTGCCAACTCTTGTGTCGTTTTATATGCAGATTGATGAAGATGTGATCGTCTGTGTGTGTGTGTGTGTGTGTGTGTGTGTGTGTGTGTGTGTGTGTGTGTGTGTGTGTGTGTGTGTGATTTGTGGACTGAAAAAAAGAAACCCCTCACCATCGCTTCCGTGTCCCTGCTGCGACACCTGTAATCTGAGTTCACCAAAAGCCAATATGAAGGTTTTGTTTCCCGTCTGAAGATGGACCTCGAATGCTGTATCACCATCTGTAGACGTCCTGGAGGGGATTCCTTCGCCATAGAAGATGCTGAGAACTGCGCTGTTCCTGACGAAGACCGAAGGCGTTTTTGTAGTTCCTTTGGCGCCCCCTACGTCATGCACGAGGCAGTCTGAAGGGGTGAGGGTACAGTGTTTTTTGTTAATTTATTTCAGTGATAACAGTAACAGTGATAAAGATGATAATTATTCTAGTGAAAACGAGATCAAGCATGAGAATGATAACAATGGCAAAACTAATACGTTAAGAATTATAAAGTTACTGATAATA